CCACTTCTTCGGATGCATATGCATATGCTGTAGTCCACGAAAGCTTATGCTCTAATAAATTTGTTAGTCTCTAAGGTGCCACAAGTACTCCTGTTCTTCTTTTTGCGGATACAGACTAACACGGCTGCTACTCTGAAACCTAAAAAATAGCAGACCTTAGTCTAGATTTAGAGAGTTATGCTATTTCCTCTATCTGGAATGGGTAAAAGAAAAGAGGTTAGCTACCACTGAAATGCTATTTCTGAAGTCCACTAGTATCAACCTTTCAAAAGGGGAAGGTAACTTAAAAATAGACCTTGCTGCTGGCATAGCATATGGTTTGTACAAGTTTTATAGAGTGGTTTAAAATCCAGGTCCAAACCTCCCTGACCACCAGGAAAACTTCAGATCTGGAGTTGGCTCCAGATCATAACTTAAGGAATCGCTATCACGTTCCAGCGCGGTGCAAACTAGGAAGGAAGGCAACATCCTTAATTTCATGAAAAAAGGTGAAGGGAAGAGGATGGGAGAGCAGACCTTAAAGGTAGTCTGCTTTTGTTTTTAACCTAGCTTAAAAATAAACAGGAAAGGAGGAAGGGAAAATCTTAATTGGCCATTGCACTATTTATCATTTAGCACTAGGGTGGAGAGATCAGAAGGGATTGCAGCCTACCTAGAGCACAGGGATTTTAAAATTTATTTTCCTGTTCTAGTTCAGGACCCCACTAGAGAAACCAGTATTATAAATTAGTCTGTAAAAATGGGAAACTGAATCCGAGGGATTCTTAACCAGTCAAAACAAGGTAGAGAAGGGCAAGCAGAGTCCTGTGAGTTATCTAGTGACAACTCTCGTACGTTCAGCCGGTACGTTCGATGTTTCCTTTCAGAAAAGAGAGGCTTGCTCTGTGATGTTCACTATGTTAATATGTCAGACACCATGTTCTCCAAACACCAGCCAGATTTACATTAACCTAATGTGCCTGATATGCACTATGCACGTACCTCCGAGTAGTCCATTCACTGAAATACTCGCTGGACCAGATTCTGCTCTCAGGAATGCTTGTGTACACGTGAAGAAACTTCATTGGCTTAATTACACCGAGGGAAGGGAAAAGGGTAAGAGAGAAGCTGCAGTAACAGGGGCATGTTTCGGGTCCTCACTATCCATAGCCTTTATGATGTATGACTGACTCCAGGGACATTAACCACTAATTTGTGTGTCTTCTTGCTTAGATGAAGGTTTGAAGTGGCTTTCCAGCGCATTTCACTTATGCAGCCCATTAAAAAGCAAGCAAGATGCTGCTGTGTTGAAAGCTTGGCTAAGCGAAACATGGGTAAATTTGGCAATGGTGAACTATCCATATAAAGCTGATTTCTTACAGCCCCTGCCAGCTTGGCCCATTCAGGTAAATGAGCATCTACATCTTCTATAACTGATTCAGCTTTAGGCTGGGACACGCTGATTTACTGCAAATTGCTGCTTTTAAAAAGTAAAGAAAACCCACATGATCTAGGACAGAAGTGGGCAAACTACAGCCCGCGGGCTGAAGCCGGCCCGCTAGCCATTTTATTCCAGACCTTGAGCTCCAGCCGGGGAGCAGGGTCAGGGGTCGTGCCATGCAGCTCCCGGAAGCAGCGGCATGGCCCCCACTCTGGCTCCTATGTGTAGGGGCAGCCAGTGGCCTCCGCTCTGCACGCTGTCCCTGCCCCAAGCGCCGCCCCTGCAGCTCCCATTGGCTGGGAACCACAGCCAATGGGAGCTGCAGTAACGGTGCCTGTGGATGGGGCAGTGTGCAGAGCCGCTTGAGGTGAGTGCCGCCGGGAGCTTGCACCCCAGAGCTCTGCTTTGCCAAGGGATCATGTGAAAATGGCTCTTTCTGGCTCATCAGATCTGCTGCCTGTGTGTATCGGAGTCGCAGCTGCTTGATTTTAGTGTCAAAAATATGTTTAATTCCTTTTTACTCATGTTGGCTCTGTAGAGCCAATCCTCCGCCCCAAACTATTTTTTTTTCTTTCATCATCTTGTTGGAAAGTCGCTATCGGTCTTTACTTCCCCCTCGGCTCTCCTCCTTATTCATACCTTCATCTGCTATGATCTCAGCTGTTGCCTTTCCTTCTTATGATCTTTCCAAATCCCTCTGGTCTTCAGAGGCCCAAAGTGCTAGAACTAGACTGTTTTTGCAGCTGTGTTCTGACCTCCTGGCTGCAGCTCTCCACATCCACTCCCTTATTTGCCAGCCTACTTATTTGGAATGCTTCTTGCCTCTGAGTCACTTCTTCTTGGTCTTGCCTGCCTCTACTCTGTTAACCCCTCAATGAATTCCTCTGAGTCACTTTGAGCTACTATGAATTACCAATGAAGTACAGTAGGTAAAATTAAAAGAAATAAAGTCAATACCAGTGTTTATCCTCCATTAAACCTAAATTCTGAACAGACAAACTGTTGATCTCCTTTAGTCAGCAGACTTGGTTTTATACGCCACATAAGGGATTGATCCTGCTGGAAAAATCTTGCTAATGTGGGTAGTGTGGTTTATTTGAATGGGACTAGTTACACACCCGAGCACTTCTGCTCCTACGGAGTAGTCCCTTAGGAATGGTCTCTTGGATTTGAGCATGAGGTACTACTCTGGGTGAGCAAGGAAAGCAGAATCTGGAGATGAGTAAAGGATTTGCTGAATTGTGCTTCAGTGTTGTTTTCTTGTCATGTCCTCGCACTGTGTATTGTCATGTTGTGTGCATAGGTGGGCCTGACTTGCTCTGGCTTGTTAACAAAAGCTGAAACATGCATACAAAAATAACCATAGACTTGACTGGTGGAAGGAAAAAGAAAGGAAAGCGGGGGAGAATGGAAATTCACCTGTCCTTTGCTGTTCTCCCATCAGCATAAATACCCTCAGTTCGATTTCAGTCTCTTATCTGTCTAAATGCAGCTTGAAGGATGCACATTACTGCCTCACTCCCATCCCTGAATTTGCTGTTCTGTTACTGATAGATGGAGCTCAAAGGTTTGAGTGAGCCACAGTGGCTCAGTAAGATATGAAATAGCAAACCCTTCCTTCTGTTTGTCTTGGCGCTTCTAATGTATGCGGCCTCTCTGGGTGGTTTAAGCTGTTTAGGTACCTTCTATGAAATGTGAGTTCTAATGACAAAACTAATGTGATTAGCTGAGTGAGAGTGAGAAGGGTATTGAGAGCTTAGGGGAAGAAAACTGTTAGAATAGCTGAATGTGCTGCATAATCCTTTCTCTAGTGTGGGCGGATGGTGCCCTCTGAGAAGCGATTGGTCTCTCAGCTTCCACCCCGGTGCTTGATCTACAGAAGTAGGGCTGTCTGCAGCTCTTTAGACTCTCATCTTTACCTTCTGCAGTGCACCAGGGCACTAGTGAATGAGCTTTCAGCGCCTTTAATTGCTCGGGGCAGAGCTGGTTAGTGAACCTAGTCAGTGCATCATTTGTAATGAAAGAGCTGCCGGGGCTCAAGCAATTAGGTGCTGGGTCTCAAGCAACTTTTTTACATTCATAACTGATGCAACAAGCCCAGAGGTGCCGGGGCTATGAGCTGCCAAGCCCAGAGGTGCTGGGGCTATGAGCTGCGAAGCCTAGCGGTGCCGGGGCTCAGCCCTGGCAAGCCCTGGCACAAACTAAGCACTGAAACTAGCCAAGGCAGAAAGCTCTCTTAATAATGATGGCAGAAGAGTTGGTGACTTACACTTAGGCCTTGTCTTTACTAGTATGTTCTTGCCTCCTATTAGCTAACACAAGGTAAAGTCCTAGTGACGAAGCGGGAGTTAGCAGGCCGAGGTTAACTTGTGTTAACACTGCTATGGGGCAGCCTGGAGTTGCTCACTCATGTTAAAACTATGAACTGCCTGAGTTCGCAGGTCACAGACAACTCTAGGCTCCCCCATAGCCCCTACTTCAACCTGCTAACTTGTGCTAAAACTGGTAACTACCTCTTCTTCAGTAGGATTTTACCTTGTATTAGGCACTCTGTTAGCTAACAGGAGGAAAGAACACCTCTTTACTCCTAGTGAAGGCATACCCTTACTGAACGTTATGCCCAGCCCAAAGTGAGCTGTATTCTGCTGAGCACCAGCCACTCCCTTCAGCTTCAGGGGGAGTTACAGGTACTCTCCGTACCCTGCAGGGGGCTGGATTGCACACCTCTGCCCCCCATAAGTCTGTGGGAAGAGGCTAAGGGGAGAGGAAAGTTACACAAATAACCCCTCCCAGAGTTTCTTCCTGATTATCTTTTCATGGGGACGGGATTTGCACACTGCCTCCTCCCTCCAACACACACACATTCCCACAATGAGCTACGGAGCCTGCCCCCAAACCGTGTAGATCCCAGAAGGTCTGCAGATGGCCAGAACTGTTTGCACAGGAATCCATGTGACTTCACAACTGCTCTAGAGCCATGGTGCATCTCCTCCAGTCCCCGGCAGGCGCCGCAGTAACAGGGATTCCCATGGCCACCCAAATGAAGACTGGGTTGGGGACTGGGGTCTGATGGATGTGCCCTGGCCCTCCCCACACTTACCATTGGGATGCTCAGTCTCTGCCCTTCCTCATGTAGGTCCCAGACGTACTGAGAGCCCTCCACAGAGCAGGAGATAAGGGAGTTGTGCTCAGGAGTCAGCTGCCATGTACCTCTTCTGTTTGGGAAGGGGGAAAATCGGTGTGGAGGCAGATCATGGTGTGATGTAGGCCAGGATTTAACCCTGAGCTACAAACCAAACCCAGCGTTGATTTAATTCTCCAGCAGCACAGTGCCTCCTTCCAATATGTTTTCCAGAGCTGAAGAAATAAAAAAAACTGCTAGAGTGATTAAAAACAGTATCACTTTAAAAATGAGAAACTTCCCAATTTATGTTGATTTATTATTTATATTACAGTAGCATCTAGAAGCCCCAGCCATGGATTGGAGCCCCATTGTGCTAGATGCAATGAACTTACATTTTTAGGAGACATTTTTCATCCCAAAGGAACTCCAAATTATTTATTAACTTTTCTAACTAATTATAAAGCATAATCTATTTTTATAAAGCAAGGGAATTGGATGCTGTCAAGGCCGATTCCCCACTCTGGCACTTTGAGTGCAGAAGGTGGGGGCCTGCAAGGAGTCTAATACTGGCTACTCCAGGCTTGTATTAAACTCCCAAGGTTACAGCTTTTCTCTGACCTTGGATGGGTAGATGCTGCCACCACCCAAATGCAAAACCCCTTGGCACTCAGGAAGGTGCACTTGGGAATTCCTTCCTTTGGGGTACCCTCAAGCCCTTTCACCCCGCTCAGGGGAAAAGCCAAGAAAGGAAAACAAAGAAATCATCTGTTGTCACCAGCTAACTAAAAAACATGTGCACAAACCTCTTCAGACACACACATCCAAATCCTGTTAGTAAAAAAGGTAAATTTTATTAAAAACAAAAAGAAAGAAAATACATCTGAAATTTAGGCTTTTGCTACATTTAAAAAACCCCCATACAAAAATTAAACATCAAGAATAACCTTCTTGAGGTCCAGCCTAAAGGTTACAAGCAACACAAAAGCATTTGGGGTTAGCACAGAGGAGTCCACAAGCCTTACAGAAATAAAGGAAATAACCATACTCGCGTCTTTCTAAACATTCCTGATCTACTTATATATTTGGGGGTTTCAAATAAGTAGTTCTAGTTATGATCTGATGATTTTCACATCTGGTCTCCAGCTTCTCACAGCAAAACTGCTCCCCTCTTCCCCGGAGAACAACAACAGACCGACAAAGGGAAGTTTTTTCCCCATTTTAAAAAGTTCTAGCCTTCCCATTGGCTCTTTTGGTCAGGTGCCCACTCCCTTTCCTTCATTTGGAGACTTCTGTAACCCTTTACAGGTAAAGCAAGTAGAGAGCAGCTACCAAGATGGATTTTATAGCTAACGGGCTGGCTGGGTGTCCATAAAAGGGAACTACCCCTCCCCTTCATTTATCACAGATGCAGAAACCGCTAATACAATATTAAGATTGTACAGTTGAAATAAAATCGGGAAATTCAAAATGTTGGCTACTAGCAGCAAAATAACTCAGCTGCATTACACGTAATATTTTATATTTCTGTTTTTCTGATTTAATATACTTGTCTTGGTAATATATACCATAAAATTAAATAGGGTGTCCAAGAAATGCTGTAGTTCAGATTGACAAAACTTTCAAAAGAAAGCAGTGCACCAGACCCGACTTGTTCTCAGGTTTGGTCAGTCTGTGTCAAGGGCATCATTAGAGACATTTCCCCCTTTCTCTTGCTATAGGTAGTTTGCAAGTTCTTGAAGAATCCCAAACTGCCAGACAAATTACTGCTACAGAATGTTTTCCAGGCAGTAAATGTCTACTACAACTACTCGGGAGCTGCATCGTGCCTTAACACGTCTCAGAGTGCCACAAGAAATCTTGGGCTGACGGGCTGGTACTATCAGGTACGTACACAAACCTTTTCCAAAATGTCCAAAGTGCCAAAGCTATTGTGAATTCTCAATTCATTCTGTCAGAATCTTTTAACTTGTGTTAATATATGGGTGCAGATCCTTGGTTGCTGTAAATTGGCATACCTTCATGAGAAATCAACACAAGCTGTGCCGTTTGCACCAATGGACTGTCAGACCTCATTTTTTCCAAAATCAAGCTTGTCTAGAACTCAATAGGAATGTGTCAAGGGATTATCATTAGCTTTTGTGAACAGTCCTGGCCTTCCCAACAAAGGAGTTTGTGTTAGATGATTTCTATGAATTAGACTGTGATTTTAAAACATTATTTCAGTCTTTATTTGTGAAATCGGTTAACAGAACCTGAACGTTATCTTGAGCTTGTATGTATGGTGGTGAATTGGGTGGAACCTTTTTAATGACATGAGTAATACATCCTGGTGACCTGCAGATATGCGGTAGGGAAAATCATCAAGAATTAAAATAATGAATGTTTACAGCAGTTTTCATCTTTAGGGCACAAAGCACTTGACAATGGAAGGTCACTACCATTATCCCCATTTTATAGGTGGGGAGACTGAGATATATATATATAGAGGGGAAGAGACTTGCACAAGGTCACGCTGCAAGATAGTGGCAGAGCGGGGAACAGAACTTGGGGCTCCTGGGTGTTTGACGATTGGTTTAAGATTCACACCAACATTTTTATTAGAAGCAAACCATTAAGTTCCAGCAAAAAAAACCCGAATTTGAGTCCATGTAAATTTACAAGGGTAAATTGATTCTGGTTTATTCAAATAGAACCACTTCTGATGTGTCCTCTGGCTAGTGGTATTGAGGTCAGTGGGACAACTGGTCTGGGAAAGGCAAGCAGTTTGTGGCTCAGTGTCTGCATTTTAATATGTAGCAAATATCTATTGTTATGTAAGGCATTGAAAGGAATCCTCCTTTACAGTACAGCTGTAGCCACAACTAGCATATTTAAAGTGTCCAACAGAAGCCACAATTACGTTTTCCTGCTCTGCCTTCCAGGCTTGCACAGAAATGGTGATGCCCATGTGCACAGATGGTGTCAATGATATGTTTGAGCCTAGGAAATGGAACTTCCATGTCTTCTCTGAAGAATGCTTCAAACTGTGGAAAGTGAGGCCTCGCCCTTCCTGGATTCCTTCTGTGTATGGAGGGAAAAACATCAGTTCACACAGTAACATCATCTTCAGGTGAGCTTACTTCAGCTTCTGTAACAATCCCCCTCTACCAACATGGGTTGCTGGTGGGGATAGAATCTGGGGCTTTGAGCACCAAAACCACAAGCCTCTACACTTTTTGTTTTCATCTAATGTGTAGCCATAGCCAGGAGTTCCCAGCGTTCCCCAATTCTCTCCTCGGTGCTCTTGCAGAAGTTGGTGGGAGTTGCATGTGCACCTCTGAAAGGTGAATTTGGCTTATGGCTTTGGAGTGTGGCTCTGTTTCTGTGAGGAAACATCTCTTCCCCGGTAAATGGAAGTCTAAAAAACACAAACTCCAACACCAGGAGTCTTTTGCCCTATCTGTCACCCTGAGTCACAGCCTCTGCTGTGGGCTGGAGCAACCTTCCCTCCCTCAGCTGGATGCAGGGGAGCTGCCACCCACCCTCTTTTGAAAGCCTTAGCTTTGGGCCCTGAAAATGGAAGCCAGCATTTGGATCATGTCTCAAGCCCTCTGTTCTCTTGGCCAAGGCCTGAGTCTCTTAATTTCCCTCTCGGATGTTGGCTGCCCAGTCTCTCACACCCGCTTGTTGGGGTAACTCCAGGAATACTGGTTGTTGCCAGCCCCTGGGTCTGCCTGTCAGCTCTGTCACCAAGTCCACACCAACTTGCCCCTTCCCAGGGTTCCTTGCCCTTCTGTCTGTCTACTAGGTCTCCTTCTGGCCCCCTTTCACCCGTTTCATTCTCAGGCTCTTTTAGCAGAGATCTTGGTGACCTCCTGCCTCTTTCCCAGTCTACCTCTCAATATAGAAACCAGTAGCCTAATCTTTTACAGCCCATCTCCTAGTCTCTGTAACATGGGGAATGATCCTTCTTTTAATAAGAAAATGAGGGGAGTATAAATATAATTTGTAGTATAGACCCCAAACTCACAAACCGGCCCTCCTTTCCTAACACGAGACAACTCTTTCAGCAAACGACTATTAATCATTGTTTCTTAAGCAGCTTTCTAGATTTCTTCCCCCCTTTATTTTTAAAGAGAGAAAGCTAGGAACTCTGATAGGGAGATCAGTCTTCCTTCTGATGCAGCACACAGTGATTGCCTACCGCTGGCAGCTCCCCAAGAGACCTCTTGTGCTATCATTCAAATTGTTCAAGTTCCTTTAGAAAAGAAACTTCTTTAAACAAAAGTCAGAATTAGTCTTTGGGACCTAGTAAATAGCTGTGTATTTTAAAAGTAAGGCATCCTGGCTTGAATCAGGGATTAGTCTCAGGATTTCAGCCTCTGACTTTGGTTTCTTAGCTCCAAAGGCCTATTGCTTTTCTCTCTTATTGGTCTCTTGCTGTTCCTTCCCCAGCAGGTATCTGCTCCAAAGTGTGAAACTGTGCTTTGATGGAAATCTTTCTTTAAGTGATAAAAAAAGAAAAGAAAAAAACAACCCCAAATCTTCTAATTTAGTTCCTGCAAATTGTTTCTTGTTCTTAATAAGATTCCACAAAATTGTACAGTATGATTCTGCTTTAGAAATCGACAGATGAGCAAACAAACCTATTTAAAGCATGTTTAAGCATTTATGCCAGCTCAGGGCATTTGAAACTAGAAAAGCTTGAAAGCAACCAAATGAATGAAAAAGAAGTGCTTTACACACAATGCTGTGGACCACAAGCAGAGCTGTTTCCCTGCGGACGGACACACACACACACACACACACACACACACCTTTTATCCTGAAGGGCCACAAAGAATCCCTGCATCCACCATGGAGATGCAGCCCCACATGGAGTAAAATGCAACATCTGCTTAACTGCAAAGGGGGGAGGGATAGCTCAGTGGTATGACCATTGGCCTGCTAAACCCAGGGTTCTGAGTTCACTCCTTGAGGGGGCCACCTAGGGATCTGGGGCAAAAATCAGTACTTGGTCCTGCTACTGAAGGCAGGGGGCTGGACTCAATTACCTTTCAGGGTCACTTCCAGTTCTATGAGATAGGTATATCTATCTATCTATATTATTATTTTTTAACTCACAACAGTTTTAGGACAGTGAGTGAAACATACTATATTGGAATGGAACTGTTGGGTGGATTTTCTCCAGGCCGAATGTAATTACCCAGATTGGAATTTGGCCAGGATACTGGAACTGATGTGTCTACTCCTACAAAAAATGCCCTGAGATATATAAGAAACAAAAATGGTCATGACTTCTGCCCTCTTATCCAAAAGATGACACCCTTAGCAGCAGTGTCCTAGAGCACCGTGCTGAGGCATTAGTCAGTATTGACTCAGAGAAATCCCCAGCACCACTTCTGTAGCTCCTTGGAGATCTTCCATCAAACTCTCTCAGCTTGTGAACGCTACTGAGACCACAGCTGATGTGGTATGGCTTTCCGGGAGAGTGCACTTTTATTACAACTTTAGCTTTGTGAGCTTGGTGTTTGCAGTGACTCTTTCACTCTCAGCAATTTTCATACCAGAGAGTCTTATTGGAAGCTATTCAGTTTTTCAGTTGGCATGGCATGGAAACCTTGCATCATGGTGGAAACCATACTTTAATCCCGTTAACACATGGGATTGTAGAGGTTTTTGTTGCAAGTGATAAGTTTCAGAGTGATGATGTTAGACTGTGAAGGCTCCTCCCAGCTGCTTCTCCTGGTCCCTAGGAGGGGTGGGGGATGAGGGAGAAAGATGAGCCTGGTCTGAGAAAATGGGTTGAGAGCTTTCTCATAGGGATGTTTCTTTAGGGTCAGGGCCCTTTAGGAAGTTCTGTTTGTACTGTCCGTACTGGGCAGTGATGGCAGGGATAAAGAACTAATGATGGGGGTGGGAAATAGGAACTTTACACTGGAAACTTGATTTTTTTTTTCAAAGCCTCACCAGGATCCTTGTAGATGATGATTTGCTTTGGAACTTGTCCCTCAAGAAGCATTCGTAACCATGTAGCGAATGGAGAGGAATGGCTGACTCCTGAATATTATTTCACTTGGATAAAAATGAGTGTTTGCTTGAATTTATTCTCTTGTATTCTCAGACTCTTCAGTTGCAAGATGCTCAGCAAAGCACTTAAGCTTAACTTTAAGTCTGCATTGCAGTAAATAGGACTATTCATATGCTTAAATTTAAGCACATGCTTAACTGCCTTAGCGGATCAGGATCCGATCACTCAGCACCTTCCAGGATAAAGCCCCTACTGAGCATTGTTTCTCAATCTACATCAATGCTGCCAATGCCATCACTTGGCACGTTGGCCAGAACCTTGGATGGAGCAGCCAGACTCTCCCATGAAATCAAGGGATGGTGTTGTTTTCCTGCTGCATGCTTTAATTTCCACATGAGTGGGACCAAGAAATCCAAGTCCATGTACATTTTGGGTCTCTCAGCAACTCAACTTACTGTTGCTAAGGCACTGGGCTGATTCAGGCGACCTTTTAAATCAAATGCATTTTGCTTATTGTGCAGCTCTCTCTATGTGTTTTTGTTTTGCAAATACAGACTGTTTTTTTTCTCCTGAGCCATATTAAGATGTATTGAAATTAGAGGTACCGGGAGAGATGCGAGATTTTCTGTATTTTTCCACTGAGGAAAAACAAACACTATAATACTATAGTTCAAACACAGTCAGTTTTTATTTGTAGTTCTTTAAGGTCAAAAGTTGGAGATGGAGACAAATGTTTTGAGTGTAATCAACTGTGATATTTTTATGAAACACAATGGCTGTGTGATATTAACAGACCCCTGTCCCTCTAGGCATCTGATCCTGTAACGCACCAGATTTGGCTCAGGACAGAACATCATGAAGGTGCACAAAGTGTTCAATGGCCTCTGTGCTGTTCCAAGCAACAGCATGAGATCTAACCTAACCTATTTCTAGCTGCGTGGTGACTACAGATGTAATAGAAACGTCTTTTGTGTCCCAGGAAGAGTATCTGAAAGATTTAACTTAAAACTTGAATTCTAAATAAAATAAAATAAAAGGGCCCAGGGCTATAATCCTTCTTCTTGCAACAGTTCCCCTGATTTAAATGGGAGTGAACAAATAAGGATTACCCCCAGAGACTGTGTTTATTTGGTGTGCTCTCCAAAGTCTCCTCCTTTCATCTGGAGAGATGGCACTAGAGATAACGTTGTCGAATGGAAGGGATGAGAGAAAAAGTAGCATACGTTAGTGGACTGAGCCCAGGATTGGGAATTAGACACTCTTAAATGCCAATCCTGATTCTGCCACTGATTTGCTGCATGGACTTGGGTAAATCACGTTGGACCTGATCCAAAGCCAGTGGAAAGCCTCCCATTGATTTCAATGGGGTTTAGATTGTTGCCTGTACGGCTTGAATTTTCAGAAGTGTCCACCAGATGGTGTCTCCAGCTGGGCACCCAAAATTCCTGGGCACTTTGAAAAACTTGGACCTTTCCCAGTTGACCCATCTGTAAAAACAGGGAAGTTGCTCCATTATTTTTGCAGAAAAGGCATTAAAATAAAGGCATAAATAAATGAATAGCTTGGTACCGAAAGTGCAGAAGGGAAAAGAGAAGATAGAAGTATATTGACCTATCACTCTGCGACAGTCACTCTTTTTCTGTCTGGAAAAGGCAATCGGTGTTGAAAAGTTATACCCATTTGAATGTGAATTTGCAAACAAAGCTGGCTCGATCCCCCCAGTAAGTTTAAGTGAATGTAGGCTACTTCAGTTCCTGTTTAAGCTGTTGCATGTTGTTGCTGAACTCTATGAAAAAATGGCCACATTTTATCTCCTGAGGAGCTGGATTTCAGTGGGGGCAGAAATGGATCCCCAAGGAGTTCATACAAATCCTACTGAGCCAGAATGTGATACCCTTACTCCCCACTGAGTGGTAGGTTATTCCACAAGTAGCCCCATTCACTTGGGTAGGACTGTTCATTGTATAAGGTGCTATAAGTATCACAATCTGACCCGTACACTCAGTGCCTTAAATTCTATACTCCCTGGATGAAAAATACTGCGTAAGAGCATTAGCAGGACACATTGTCTGAGATGAATGTCCCCAAGGGGGGGGAATGTGCTTAACTTTCACCAGTTGCACTGGCAGCTGAGGATAGTCTGTGCCTTGCAGGATTGGGTTGTGCATTTCTAGCCCCTATGAATCTGGAGAAAACCTTCAAAATGTGGAGGGGATGGGACATGGGGATGAGACTCCCCTCTGGCCCTGTTAGCTGGGAAAGTTAATACCGCCTCGGATTCTGAGCCAAAGCCCCCAGGAGCTGCCATTGTCTGGTGGGAGTCTGAAAGTACAGGCCCAAGGGAGCCCTTCTGCTAGGAGAGGGGGCAGATAGGGCCATCCTCTCCTTCCCTGTGGCTTCTTGTCATCTCCTGGGATCAACAAGTAAGGCCCCCCTCCTTGTGTGGCAATCTACAGTAACCTTTGCACTGAATTTTTCACTGAGTTGTCCTCATGAGACGTTCCTTTCTGTGGCTTTTTCGTGTGGGAGGGGACAGTCTGGGCCCTAGTTGGTGGCAGAATGCTGAAGCAGAACACCACAGAGCAGGGGGACTTTGTGGTAGAATTTGGGTCTATCCTGAATACTGAGCCTCTGATCGTAACAGTGGCTGTTGAGAGACCCCTAGCTTTATCACACCGGTACCGTCACTCGGGATAGTAACTGTAATCTAACTGGCTATATGGACTTTCCTTATAGCAATGGCGGATTGGACCCGTGGTCTGGAGGTGGAGTGACTCGGAACATCACAGACTCTCTCATTGCAATTGTGATCCCAGAAGGAGCTCATCACTTGGACCTGCGTGCCAGCAATCCCGGTGACCCCAAATCTGTGCTGCAAGCCCGAGCCTTGGAAGTTCAGTACATGAAGCAATGGATTGAAAAGTCCAGGCATAAGCACTAAAGTGGTACTGTAATAATGGTGGTTATTATCTCCCATTGGCTTCAATGGGAGCAGGATCAGGCCCTTATTACAGAGTTCTGTTCAAAACGTTGTTCACCCCTGCTTCCTCTCTTCCTTTACTAGCTGCTTGTCAGCACTGTGCCTTTCACTGGGAGGTAGAGGAGGTGGCTGTCAGTTGGAAGTCTGCTCCAGTAGCAAATCTCAATCAATAAAGTACATGCATTGAGTCACCCATGGTGGCATGCTTTCCTGTTCTGCTACTACCAAATGCTGCATTACATCCTCTTTCAACATGCTTGTGTGGGGCCTGATTCCTGCTAGGCCCCGTATAGCCTCACAAAATCAGTTTCCAAAGTTACTAGCGAAGTGTGTGCTTGACCAGACGCAGGGACCACTAAACTCCATGGCAAAGCTCTCACTGATTTCAACTGGATCTCAATGCAAGGGCTGCGTCTCAGCTTGTGTAAATTGCCAGAGCTCCGACAGGAGCGCCCCAGCTGAGATCTGCCCTAGAACTTGCCCCTATCAACACAAACTGCACGTATGCTGTCTTCTATCAGACACAGACTAATTAGTTAATACTCTAACCCAGAGAGTGAGACACCACATCTGTCCAGTTGAGAAGTATAGGGAGACTTGCTGAGTATTGCCTCCTACAGGCAAACCCTTGTCTTTGGTGACTCTTTGCAAGTCTCTCCAAGCTTTCCAGGAGAACTTTTATTGTTTCCAACCTCCAGTTAAAACCAAACCATGATAGGGAGCTGAGTTTTGGTGATCCCTTGGCTTCAGACAGTTGTCACCTCTGTACTGGAGAGTTGCATGGGGATACAGTGCCCATTGTATATGCATGGGGATACAATGCCCATTGTTCCTACTCTAAAATAATTGCTCCTCCCTCCACCCCTCACCATATAAAAATGCAAGTCTCTCCAAGCTTTGTTTCCAACCTCCAGTTAAAACCATTTTTATATGGTGAGGGGTGGAGGGAGGAGCAATTATTTTAGAGTAGGAACAAAACCACATTGGGATGTGATTTCAAGACTTTTTTTTTTAAGCAGAATAGTAGGAATCAGCTAAATATTTTTCTTGTTTTCAGCAGCGTCTTAACCAAGTTGTCATATACTGTATGGTTGTTTCTATTCTCCTCTGCACAGAACAAACAGGACTGGCCCCTAAACACACATTTGTTGATTAATTCTCTAATTGATTGGCTGTGCACAATTTATCACTTTTCTTCCTCCCCCACTGCTTCCCTTAGGTCCAGGGCTAGGATATCTGTTGCCGCCAAAGAGAAAGGTGGGTATTTTCTTCCTTCTTGTTGCTTTCCCACAAACATTTTATTTTTGTTTTTTTTCAGAGCATCACTGGGAAACTTTCTTTAAACTCTTCTACTGGAGAGGGAACCTGACACAGTACTCGTGCTAGCTAGATCGTATTAAGTGACAAATAATTGGGGCTGGACCTTGTTTTTTTTTCCTTTTCTGTGTATTGATGAGATTCTGCATGGTCTGGTTGCTGATGGTGGTTCAATAAAGGCCTTTTAAAAATTGTTTGCAGGGCAAACTATTCAGAACGCAGCTAAACTGTTCAGACACCATTGACCCAAAGCGTGAGGCAGTGCTCAGCAGGGCAGGTGCACTAGATGGCTTTCTGTAGGGCTTCCACAAGAGACAAACTGCCCAATTCATGCAGACAGCATATTTGGCGTTAATAAATGGCAAAGTCCTCTCACTTTGCAGCCTTGGCTTTGTTCACACTGAAAGCCTCCTTCCAAAAGGCCCCCTTTCTAGGCGAACAGGACTAGATTATTTCATTTCAGAAAGTCTCAACGCAACAAACGGACCCAAGGGTCTCTTAGAATTCCAGTTTCATTTGTATTTATCAGCCTAAAATACAAAATTTCTTCTTACTCCAGGCTTCTTTTTACATTCCCACGCAATCCAGCATTTTCTAGGAACAAAATAGATCTTGTTCCGAACCTTTAATTTTTTTGATACACTCCAGTACGTCTGGTTCTCTTCTTGACAGAGCTCTCGGCATATCCTTGCTTTTGCTCCAGTGTTCTAGGAAAGGTTGATTTGAACAAGGAGGCCTTTATGTTCAGGTTCAGCAGTCTGGACCTTTCACGCTCTGTCTTTAGCAAGTAATCACTTTGGAGCCTATAAAGAGTGAGACCAGAGAAGCATCCTAGTGCAAGGGGAAGAGCTCTTTAGAACTGGACTAAAATCTGTCAGTTATTAGTAATCTCTATTCAAATGGGTCAATTTTCTAGCATTATGATGTAAATGTGTCCTTGTGTGTGTGCGCACTTTACAATAAAATAGTGGCCTTAACTTTTTTTGTTAAAACTGTTTAGATCAAATAAAAACTAACCACATTTCCTATGTCCACTGCCAAACAAAAGTTAAAACCTGAAGACACAATCGATAGTATTTTAAGATAGCATCTAGGTTTATTTTTAACACACTTTATTGGAGGGCAAGAAAGGGAACTGACCAAGTAAATCTAAACCTTGGGAATGCACAAACCACTCATAACCAAGGAGAGAAAGGATAAGGGCCTAATCCAACTACTTCCATTGACCGCAGAGGGAACATTGTCAGATATGGAGATGATTGAACTAAAATGTCTTGAAAACACTTTGGTTTTCAAAAACAACGGTCTTAGAAAAAAAATGAAACATTTTTTTTTTATTCTCCCCCTCCATCTCTGCCTTTTTGTTATTTTCTGTAGCATTTTTGTTTTCATTTTTTAAAGGAACATTTCAAAGATTTTTTTCACAATGTTGTAAAAACGCCCTTTTTTGACTCCGCCCCCCAAATCTTTACATTAAAAAAATATTTCCATTCACTCTATCCAGTCCCTTGCTCAGACTTCTAGATAATGGTTATTGCTTCCATCTATTGTAGGCCGAACTCGTGCTGTACCATTCTTCTAGTATCTAGGGGCTTGATTTAAAGCCCATCAACATCACTTTCCATACACTTCAGTGAGCTTTGGATCAGGCCCTTACCACTTTTCCTAGATTTTTAACAAGGTGACCAGTTTTCTGTTCTGCTTAACAGGGCTTTCTTCAGGCCTTCATCCTAATCATTGAAACTGTAGGTCCAGCTATGTACTTATTTCCCTTAAAGGATCTTTCAGACCTGGTCCAAGAATTTATGTGCATTAGGGGATGACCATCAACAAAGATTGACTACCTCATTTTGAATGTAACTTTCCCTGCTTTTATGTCATGCACGTTAGACTATCAAGAGCCGTGATAGGATTGTTACTTTCTTTGCCCAGCTGTATCATGATAGGACCATATTTCATGCCCTTCAAGAAGATATTCCCAGATACACTTTTGTTCTCAGTGTGTATTGTGAATTCTTTTGTTTTATGTATATGTTGCCTTTTGGGGGAAAAATGCATAAAATGAAGCAAATAATTTAAATTTCTGTGTAGCACTGATGATATGTAAATCAAAACCCAGTAACAATGGATCTTACAGCTAGAAGGTTTTGAAATTGAAATCTGTATGACAAAAATATGCTGTAACAAGTATTAAAGATAAATAAATGTGAATTTCTGGAAGATGCTTGTTTCATTTCTAAAGTAAGCAGATTGCTGATATTAGACCGGGGTCGGCAACCTTTCAGAAGTGGTGTGCCGAGTCTTCACTTATTCACTCCAATTTAAGGTTTCGCGTGCCGGTAATACATTTTAACATTTTTAGAAGGTCTCTTTCTGTAAGTCTATAATATATAACTAAACTATTGTTGCATATAAAGTAAATAAGGTTTTTAAAATGTTTAAGAAGCCTCATTTAAAATTAATTAAAAGGCAGAGCCCCCCGGACCCGGGCATTGTGAGTGCCACTGAAAATCAGCTCGTGTGCTGCCTTTGGCTCGCATGCCATAGGTTGCCTACCCGTGTGTTAGACGTTGGGGTCTGTCAGCATTTCTGTAAGTAAGTTTTCTAGTTTATGCTTGAGCCACAGATGGGGAAAGTGAGCTAAATATGCCGCTATTAAGTTGTCACCGCTTTGTAATATCCAAGAGGGGTCAGGTGTTCAGACGCACCCGCTGGTTCAACTAAGAAAGCTGTTTTAATTCTTAACTGATTTGGGGGATTAGATCGCTCAAGAGCTTGGTAATGGGCAAATAACCCTTTCCCCTCTAGTATGCTGGTTTGAATCTAGCCAGGTGAGTATTATTTGAAAGTTGCCATCTGATTGCTGGCTTTTGTTAGTCTCAATCCAGTCCCTAATAGACAAATGTCTGCTCACATACTACACTGATATGAGGGTCATGTAAGTATCTGGATAGACAAGCATCATGGAAACCACTAGTATCCTTGGCACTAATTGACAGTCCCAAAAGGTGAAGATTAGATAGGACTAAGCAGACTGAAATGCCACGTCACCCATAGGGTCATTCCATACAGGCTGGGGCTGCACGCTGCTGGGCAGAAGTTTGAACAGCTGCTGTCTATAGTATACTGTGCTCATAGGAAACTTTAACTACACCTCTACCCCGATATAACGTGACCCGATATAACACGAATTCAGATATAACGCGGTAAAGCAGTGTTCCAGGGGGGGTGGGGCTGCGCACTCCGGCGGATCAAAGCAAGTTCGATATAACGCGGTTTCACCTATAATGCAGTAAGATTTTTTGGCTCCCGAGGACAGCGTTATATCGGGGGTAGAGGTGTACTTAGACCAGTGGTTTTCAACCTGTGGTCCGCAGACCCCTTGGTGTGCTGTAGATTGCCTAAGATTTCCAAAGGGGTCTGCATTTCCATTTGAAATTTTTTAGGGGTCCACAAATGAAAAAGTTGAAAACCACTGACCTAGATCTCTAATACAGTCAAACATGCATTGTCAAAGAGGCTACCAAAAAAATCTAAACTTCATCTCAAGGAGAAGCTATCCTGGCTGTGACACTCTGTACCTCAAAGTAGCATCCTGGAACCCCCATATTCACCACTGTCCTATAATGATGCAATTTGTACAAAGTATGCCTTGTGAGGTATCCTATTAAAAGCCTTGATCTGTTGAACATTACTATCGTGTTGGATTGTATGTGCCGTCATTGTATGTGAAGTTATGAAGTATTGCTGTGTATGTTACTGAAATGTGTTGTAAGGTTGGAAACACCCACAGCCAGCCTTTCAGTTGCAACAAAGAAGGGCCAGGCAGTGTTGATGGCCCACCAAGAAAATAATCCACTATCCCAGAGACTCCTT